TTTCTCCTTCTTTTATCCCTCAATGGCCATAGTTAAAAATGAACTTGTCATCTCATCACCATACCTACAAGTTTTACTATTCAATGGCTATTCATACAGTCTGATTATAAAGGTCCTTCCTGGACACCAATTCTTCCATCTGAGGAAGTAGACCTAGTCTAGATGTAGTCTATGAAAGCTTATGCTACAACTTCTTTTGTACAGTTAGTGCATGCTGATATTCCAGACTAACACATGCTTTACATGCTGATATTCCCCAGCATTATGTCTGAATTCTACCACAAAGATACAGCTAGAGTTCTGTTCCCATCACCCCACACCCACTGCAACAGGGAGATAGAAGTCCCACATTTAAGAATTCATTGACCACTTACGAAGATGAGTGCTGGGAATATCAGCATATATAAAAAGCTGCACATGTGATTGCTAATGCAGCTTTGTGAAGCCTTCAGGCAGGCGTTCCTTGCCTTTGACATTGTCTTGGCACCTGTAAAATAATAGATGATTAACTTGTCAGAGTTGCCTTGAGACTTTAAGTACCATTTGCTCTGCCTCACTGGTTTGAATATAAAGAATTTTTTAGCTTCCATTTCCAATGTGAGACCAGCTTTCCATAAGACTCCCTCAGCAGATGTATCACCAGCTTTAGCTTTAGCACTTTGGTATAAGTGGTCAGTCACGATAATAACATTAACCATGACAAATTTGCTTGGTGTTAGCGGATATAATACCCTGTGCAATTCCACAGGAATTTCCCATTCATCTCACTGATCACAACCTTTGAAATATCCTGCATCATTTGCTTCCATGTGTCTTGATGTACTGAGTGTAAATAGGAACATTTCCCTCACTATTTCAAAAAAAAAAAAAAAAAAAGGGGGGGGGAATAGTGCCTGTCTGTCATTCCAAAAGATTTCTTTGTGCTGTAAAGCCCAGATCAAACTCCAAGTAACTGGTGTCTTTTCTTTGTTCACTTTGTAAATTCTGAAACAGCTCTTTAGGCCAAATAAAGCAACCAGAGAATTCATATACCCACCTAGAGCTCTGATAAATATTTTTATTTTTATTCTTGGTAAAGGGGGAGAGAATATAGATCCCAGAATGTCCTCACTAGTATGGCCACTGGAAAAATATGAGACCTGCTTCAGGAAGCATGCCCCACATGGGTATTTTCTGCCTTGAGTGCCAAAATAACATAACTGGACATGGATATTATGCCCTTTCTTTTTAGATGGAAGCCATTTGCTGCTGTGCCCCAGGCAACAGAAACCCTTAGGCCAACCAAAAAGTGTTTTTGAATAATTCATCAAGAAGAACATTTCCATTCTTTTTCACTCTTCCATTTGTTTTTTTCTGACCATGTATTCAGAGTAACTGGATACTGAGCATGCTTCTGCTAACAGAGTGATAGCCATGTTAGACAGTTGCAGTGGGAAAAAAAACAATAAAGATGCAGTGGATGGACTTTAATCCACACCAGTGTAGGTATAGTTTTTAATGGAGACACAAGCATCTGCACTAAAATGATCTATGCTCACATACATTAATTTAAAATGCATGTATTTTGGATGAGTAAATACACAATTGAAACTATAATATAAGAAGAAATCACTTGCCTATGTCACCAACAGGGTTCCAGCCAGCACAGCCATGGTAAAGAAAATGGTGCCAGTTGTATAGACTGCAGAACTGCACTTAACTAGGATTGCATTTGAACAGCAGATATAATGCAGTTTGACACCACTTTAACTGCCAAGGCTCAAGGCTATAAAATTATGGGATCTATAGTTTTGTGAGATATTTGTCTTTTGTCAGAAATTTCTGGTGACACAACAAACTACAAATCCCAGAATTCCATAGGATAGAGCCATGGCATCAAACCGCATTATTTATGCAGTGCAGATGCAGCCAAGAAATAAGACTCATCAAACTAAGGTTATTTGGGAGTAGAAATTCATAGGACTTCACTGCTATAAGTAAATTTATCTTGTGCTGAGAAACTAGCAGCCTAAACATAATAATCTAATGGCACCAAGAAGAGAGAGGAACAATTTCTCTTTCTTGTATTATTTGCATGAAGTAACAACATGTGTAGAAAAAGTGGAACCATATCTGAAGTCCCATTCACACCATCCCCACAAGTAACGTTTTTGCCATGTATACCTCCTTGCTGGCAACCTATTCCTTAGATCCTGAAACATTGCATGATTAGGGATCTCAAACTTCAGGAAGCATCTAAATGTAAAGATGTAGCAGAAAAATGGGACCAGAGACCTCTCAGAGTAAGGAAAGTGAGTTTATTGAGGGAGGGGAGGTAATGCCAGGGGGCCCAGCAAGTAATAACTTTCCAGAGGTGCTGAGCCTCGAATTGATCAACTGAGAACCTTTTTATAGGATCACACATATACAAAGAACATTTCTCCCTCCTCCCTCCTTGAATAACTAGTTTCACAATATTCAGCAGTTCTTACTAAGCAGACATTGTTTACAGAACAGGAAAATCTATGTAGGACAGAGAAAATGTTTACAGTACAGGAAGCCTGTGGTCTTATCAGTGCGGTCCTTGATTGCAGTACAGAGCATTGCCTGTTCTTAGCTAAAAGAAGCAGCTAGGGAAATAGAACATTTTCAAAATCTCATCTGGAGTCCCATTTGATTATCTAGTCTGACCCCCCACAAGTTATCATAGAGATCATAGAAACTTATGGTAAAAGCCCAATAGGCACACACACACACACATTTGGCTACTTCAAAGATACACACACAGATGCTTCCTCACCCCATGTATTCACACTGCAGCATGGCCAATGGAGCTATACCAGGGCATCTAGGTATCATGAGATGGGAGTTGGGCTCCAGATCCAATAAATTATCTCTACAAACTCTGTCCCTTCACAAAAGCACAATGGGAAGGAGGCTGTAATCAATTCTGTATATACTGTCCAAGAAAGAATAGATTAGTACTTTTC